TATATATATATATATATATATATATAATCACAAGGCATTTGACATTTGATGTGACAAGAATTGGATATTGGATGGCAGAGAGGTCGCCACAAAATATAAAAAATGCAATAGCATGATAGTGAAGAAAAGTGTAGCAAGTTTGGGAAAAATAATGAAAAAATATACCAAAGATAATCTAAAATTCCCTCCAATAAATCAAATCAAACTACTTAAAATATTATTAAGAAATAAGGGACAGTGAAAAGTTCGACATTAGAAAAGATCCATGGGGCATTGGTAAAGATTGCTGCTTCTATAAATGCAATTTGTAGCAAAATCAGATGCATGCTAACTAAGGCAGGGTATAATATACTATGGATCAACTTTGGATACAAAATTCTAAATAGATGTATCTTTTAGAACGTAAGTTAAAATTGATGCATTGCTTCCAGCTTCACAAGCAATGTCATCATCACAGAAACTTTAGTTGATAGCACAACACTGGGTAAATTAATGATGGTCACCGTGTTAAGAAAATTTTGATCCTTTGAAAAAAATCATCAGAAAAAATAAGAACAAAACCTTGTTTTTATTTTATTTTATTTATTTATTTATTTATTTATTTTATAAGTGAGATTGTTCAAACATGCCGCCAAACCAACAAAGAAAAAGTGATTTTAACCAACATTATTCATGTAGTCTATCCTTGTGGGCTAAATGGTAGCAAAAAGGGCAATCATTGAGTGGTTGAATTTATATATAACAATCTGTTCATAATAATTGCACTTTATATCAACACGTGTTTTGTTATTTACTCCAATATCTACTTGCATGTTATGCCTCCATGCCGAGTCTTCTCCGCCCATTGTGCTTTTTTCCTACCCATTTCTCACAAAATCCTAAGAAAAAATTTAGATAAAAAATATTAAAACATGATAGTGTTCAAACAGATAACTATAGAGGCCCTAAATAAACAAAGTAAACAAATTAGACTTGAAAAAGAAATAAGTTTTGGGCATAGGAATTGTCAATGGAAGAAAAATAGATGTGGTGGAGAAAAGAGTTCCTTGTAGAAGAAAAGAGCTTGGCAAAGAGGAAGAGATGTCATTGGAGTTGGCGGACATGATCCACAACATGCATGAGAAGCAGTGATCACATAAGAGGGTGTTCACTCTGTCCCAACTCTAGTGTGACCGAGGTGAGGTCTGTGTGACTGATATTATATTGTTATTTTGATTATTTAATATTTTTTTAAAAGAAACTTTAAATTCTAGTTTTGCATGCCTTATCCAAATCCAGGCCCCTTATGAGAGGCGTGCACCTCAAATAATACCAATAAAGCAGAAGTATCATTGAGATTTTATGAAAAAAGCACTAAAAAAAGCCTTACATTACACAATATAAAACCATGATAAAATGCATTAAAATTGTGTTAAAGCATTAGATTAACCCTATGGCATACAAGATAAATCCGAAAAGGATATCATTAAATGTTTTTTATGTCATCTAGGCTTCATATCATTAAACCTTAAAAAATAATATCATACAAGCCGTTAAAGTAATCCTCTTAACAATAAACCAAATTTATTGGTATATAACTGATTTTGGCATGTTATGCCTATGAGTAACTGGCTATCATGCCAAATGCCTCTAAACCACAACAATACATGTTTCACACCCTTTAAGCCATAGAGTTTACCTAGCCATCAATTATAAAGCAAACTACGATCTACTATCAAAATTACTATCAAATGCTCTTTTATCCTATCCGCTGCAATCCATTGAGAATTGTCTCAAACAAGGGAATCCATAGAGCTTAGTGAAACACCAAGCAATGAAATAAAAGTTTGGACTCGATACTAAAATATAGTAGTTATAGTGATCGCTAACCTTTTCAATCAAGCCTCACATGGTAGATCCTTGTATGACAAAACCATGAAACTTGTAGGGTTTACAAGCCATCCCATAGTCATTTTTCATAGCATAAAGCAACATAATGGGGGGCATGAATGCCATAAAGACTGTACCATAAGATATAGATCCAAAGAAGCCTCACTGATCAAAATACTCCCCCAATTAGGATGGTTTATTAACTAAGAAGCATTGTGCATATAAGACGCCTTAAAACCACATAATTAAACAAAACCATTCACATCAAGGGAAAGCATTTGTTACAACAAATTAATCTAACTCCAAGAAAAAAACCAAAATTCTGGTCACAACTAGAAGAACACTATACTTGATATTCTGGATCTTGCGATGTACAAAAATCAAGCTCCACATATAGCTAGAGAAAAAATCTGTTCCCATAAAGAAAAAAACATTAAAAATTTACAACTAATATCCAAAAAATTAAACAGAGAGAGCCATTGTTAAGATCCAATCAGACATCTAAAATTTAGGTGATACCTTCATCGTTATCATATAATTTAAAGTGGGAGCTATTTTAAAGTTTCCTCTGGAACAAGCGCACGCACACACATATATACACTCAAATAAAAAGTGATGAAGAAAGAAATATGTGATTGTGTTTGGATCTTTGAGGGACATAGAAAAAATAATTCGTGATGATATTGTTTTGTAGGGAATATTTTATCAACGTTAAATTTTGTTAAAATAAAATGTACAATAAAATGAATTTGAGAATTATAACAGGGTTCCATGAATTAAATATGACTGCACCTATAAATAATGCATAAACCTTATGAATTTCTTAGGTAAACATACTCAAAGAAATACCATATTACATCTAAAAATAAACTTTGCATACAAGTATTATAATAAAAAATAGCATATAAATTGAAAGATTACAAATATGTCGGTCATTTAATTAGCAATGGTAACTCATTAGTTCAAGAGTATAATGTTATCCTCAATAACCATAATATAGAGGAAAACCATCAAGTATTCATGTTAGCTCGATCTCACCTTGAACAGATGGTGAGTTCATTACAGAATTACTAAATAAAACACTACAACAGACCAGCTAATTTTATTCAAGCTATCCAAATAAGTACTAAAACAAACCAGCAAAAGGATTTCCGAATTATAAGTTAAGAGATAAGAACTCGCGAATAATTATGGCTGATGGAAAAACAAAATGATGTGCAATTTTTATTTTATAATTAATGCTGGTAATTTGTCAAGACAGCCAAACAAACAATCACAAACTGCAAAATTGAAAACAGTGAGTAGATTATTCCACTAAATATTCTTTATTAAAAACCAAGACATAGTGTAATTCAATGTGATAAAAAAGAACAACAATTAAAAAGAGGAAGATTTATAAACATACCACTTAATCTCTATGTATTTACATATCTAACACCTAAAATTCAATTTTTACATATATGCCACAATATCTATGAATGAAAAGGTGCATATCACTTTTTAAAAGTTAAAATAGTTGTATTTTTTATGTTATATGAAAGATTTAGCTGGCATAAATGTAAAAAGTAGAGTTTACATGTTAGATATGTAAATGCATAGAAATTGGTTGGAATGAATCTAAATGCCCTAAAAAGGAATGAGAACATACATGTCCCTTCTCTCCAACTATGAGCAAATCAGCGCACCCAGCGACAGATTCACCTTCGCCATCAACCACAGACATTACCTTATCAGGATCACAATCCAGAATCAAACAGTCCTCGTCAGACTCCATTTGCAAGGAACTCGGCTTCTTCATGAATGATGATTTAGAATCTTCATCAGCAACCACAACATCATCCAAATCCCTAAGCGCTTCTATATCTACAGATTCAAGCAACTCATTGAGCCATTCTTCAGATATATCAAAAGGTTCATCTGCCATGTTTTCCTCATCCGAGCTAATATCAATTACGACATCAACCTCATCCATAGAATCCAAAAGATGAATTCTTAATCTGAAAAACTCAAAATCAAACGAGATGTAGAAGGAGTACAGCAATAGCTCAGCACTAGAACTACACTAGTTGAATCCTCAATTCGACAACAGAGAATCAGCAATCCTGGTCAAATGAAAGAAAATATATCAAATTTCAAAAAAATTAACCAGTATACAAGAAGATTCAAAACACTGACTAAGACTCCACTTTATTTCAAAAGAAAAAAAGAAGAAGAGCAGAAAACTTTACGTAACAACTAGGAAAACATTCAAATTGGAACAAAAAAAGACATACAGTACAAAGTAACCGACGATAGTAATTCCCCCGACGTTCTTCTGCTCTACGAGTCTTCATAAACCCTAATACGCTCATCACGACTAATCGACAACGAAACATTTGCGTCCCTCGTAGATGAGTAGAGCTACTTGTCGGTAAGTTATAACTCTTTTTAACGTTTTTCATATATATATGGTATAACTTAAATATAACCTCCAACACCCTCCTATAACATAACCAAATATTTCCCGAAATTTACTATTTACAAATCCATCGCTTTTTCATCCAGTTTTCAAATAAGCCTAACTCATATTTTTTTTATTTTTATAAAATTTTAAATGATTTGATGGCAGCATGCATAAATATATTAACTTAATAGTTTAAGAAAATTACATACGTGATTAATTTATAAATATTAATATTTTGATAAGTTTGTATGTAATTATTATTATTTTTTAAAATATATATTATTATTTTTAAATATCATTACGTATTAAAACTTGACTTGTTGACTTATAAGAAATGTCATTAGAAATTAGTTGGGTTGTTTATGAAAAGCTTATCATTTGTTCATAAATTAGTTAATTATTAGGGTGGTATACAAACAATACTATAGTTATTTAATATTTAGATAGCTGATTCCTACTCCTACGCTTCCTTTAAATGCTATAGTTATTTTATGGAGGTTTAGATGCCAAAAAACTTAAAGTATGGTAGATGTTTTGCTTTAAATCATAAATCCTGCTTGCGCTATTCGCGAAGCGGCAGCTTCCCACCACCGCCGCCGCCCATCGCTTGTCGCGGCCCGCCGCCCTCCCCTGCCGATCGCCATCATCCCCGGTTGTCTGTCGCACCCCACCTACCGCCATCACCGCTCTTTGTTGGCTTCCGCACGTTGACGTTTGCCAAAGTAAATACATTGTTGTAAATGTACTTCAAACCAAATAAAAAAATATAAAGTCCTATGTTTATTTTACATGGAGCCAAATAACTTGAAAATATTTCAAATATATTATAATCATAATATTCTGCTCTGTAAACTTTTTACATTGCATTTTAAATATATTATAATAATATGATAATAGAACAAGACCATCAGATATAATGGTACGACATGAAAAATTATTGTCAGGATATGACAATTATTGGTGATGTGTTGACATAAAATAGGCATGACATTAGAGTTTTATAGATTTCTAGCCAACATCTCCCACATATAAGGAAGGTTGGTCCATGCATGCTTTTCTCAGAGTTTATTTTAGCTCAACTCTGGCCAAAATTTTAAAAAACTTCATTAAACAACTCGTGTTCTTTTGCAGTGGTGCATCTGTAGCTTACCTGAGAATAATTTGTGTATCCCCTCGACATCCACACCTTACCGTTTCACTGCTCGGTTGTTGTTGTCAGTCGGACTATCTTCGAAACCTCTACTAATTGCCCAAATCTTAACCACCCAACTCTTTCTAATAATCTTATCAGTCCTACTCTATTTGATTTGGTAGAAATCGAATGGACAAGCTAGTTGCCACATTTGAATTAACAAGTTCAGTTGTACACAACAACATTTGGGATGATTTTTACCTGCTTGTGTGTTAGAAAAACTAATCAGCAAAACATAATATTAATTTAGATGTTAATTTTTCTTCTTATATTTATAACTTTTATGTTTTATAAAATTTATTTTTTAAAAAAGAAAGGTTTACATCTATTCCACTCAATTCTTGTGTGTTCATATATCTAACACCTAAATATTAATATGATATGTTATCAACAAATTTTCATAATCTAGCACGGATCTCGAGATGTGACACAAATCTCGAGATAATTTTTTGAACAATAAACATTATAATCTCAATTAAAAATCATACAAAACTCTAATTTTAACAAACTTACATTCAAACTGACTAGCTCGATGATACTAACACAATGATACGAAAGTGGGTCTAATCTAAGTCAAATCAAGCCTAGATCAAGCTGTTAAACCAATTTAAGAAGCCTTTAGTGCCCAAAGGAAAGGCCAAACATATTTCAAATCTAGCAAGCTTAAGGTCAAATCAAGCGTCTTGACAAGATAAATCTAACGAGTCTAATATCACTCAATTTTGAGATATTTAAGACACTCATATGTCCACAAAATACTGCATGATCGAGGGAATCTCTCTAGTTCATCTGATAAAGTGGTATGGATTCCTTCATTATTCGCAGAGAGATCTCTCCCAGACTCTATAAATAGAGCCCTACTCTCTTCATGAAAAGGAGAGGAGGACCTAGACTATGCAATAAAGGAAGACCAGAGCTCTAAGGAGAAGGAGTTCAGGTCCAATGTTCTACATTAAAGGTGCAACATGTTCCTATATTCGTCGACCACCGTTAATCACCACTAGTCATTTTTCATTGACCACCGTCGACCGCACTCTATTATTTGCAATTAAGTCCCTAAAAAATTATTGACGTACGTTGTAGAGTAATGAAGCACCATGCATGGTAACAACTAGCCCTACAGAGTTTTGAAACATCATACAGAGCGACTCACCTCAAAGATGGTGTAATAATATACCTCAAAGATGATGTAACAACACCTCAAAGATGATACAACATGTATCTCACGTACATTGTAGCAATGCACTCATAAAATGGTGTAATAATACATAAAAAATTGATGTAACAATGCACCTTGAATATTGTGTAACAATGTATCCTGAATATTGTGCAACGAAGTGCCCCACTTACGATGCAAAGCTGCCTCTCAATGACGATGTAATAATGGACCCCATAATAACTGTTTTTTAACTACCGCATTCAGGGTACGATGACTTTCTCGTACTCCCAAGCACACTTATCGTAGCTTATCACTATGGCCCACGCAACCAATTACAGTCTACTATATCCACAACTCATGTAACTCCTAACTATGGCCATTGCAACCTACAAATGTTATCACGACTTATGCAGTTCGAAACTCTGGTCATTGCTGCCTACGGATGTTATCACGGCTTATGCATCTCCCAACTCTTGGCTCTATGGCGTACAGATGTTATCACAACTCATGCAACTCCCCCCACCCCCCCTACCTTTATGGACTACATACATTATCATTGATCATGCAGTTCTCAATTCTAGCCTCTGTTGACTATGAACATTATCACAAGTCATTCAGCTCCTCCCAACTTTGGCCTCTATAGCATATGAACGTTATCACAGCTCATCTAGCTCCTATCTCCAGCCACAGCAGGCTATGACTATTATTATTGCTCATGCATCTCCCAAATTCAACCTACATGAACAAATACTACTATGAATTTCAACTACGACATTTATGACAAGCTGGTGCTACAGATGTCATCTACAACATTCAAGATGATTTACTGCTTCCATGACAATCGACTATGGTCTTTGCGGCCCACTAAGACTCTTAATTATGAGATACCCTTTTACATTAACTTTGTAATTTTATCTTTCCCAGCTCAGAAGAGGAGTGGCCTATGTACTCATAATTATATGGTGGATTACTTCAAATAAGCTACGCCTCGTGATTTTTTTTCCTTTCTAGGGTTTTCCAAGAAAAAAACTTTTGATGTATGTGCTAATGCAACACTAAGACGTTAAATAATCACTCTATAACTATGAATCTTTTAACACAAATCAGTTTTGTGCCATTTATAGGAAATGAAGTCTTGTTCGCCACAGTTCTGAAGTATGAGACACCAAGCCAAGTCTGCATTTCTCAATAATATATATCATCCAACTAGCGAGAACTTCTTATTTAACCTCTTAAAGATTTTTTTCTTTGCATTTCTTAATGTGGGAGCAAACTTTGTTGCAATCTTGAAAGGTTGTTTACGTTAACTTCTCAGACACGATTGTGGTGAGATAGTCTACCCGCATCTAATTAAGATAAAAATGCCTGTGGAAATTACTTCTAGTCTGTGGGGGGAGGGGGGGTAACCATCTCTGTAATCTTGGAAGGTCGTTCTGGTTGGGGGCAACTTTCATCAAAAAGAGCACTTCCTCAACGCCCTCTATCATACTGGTGTTCCTTGGCAGGATCAAAAAGCTTTTCTCTTCAAGGTTTGATAGATTTGTTGTTTTATAGTCTCATGTGAAAAATACCCCAACTAAAGGATAATAAATTCAAAAGCAATAACTAGTAACTTGCGAACATCATTCTTGTATTTCTAAGAAAAAGTATGGTCTATTTTGACCTATATCACAGTCTCAAGAAACACAAAATATTTGTTGACACCTCATTCTATGCTTAATCAATCCCAAAGAGACTCTGTTCAACATCTTTTCTCACATGTTATGGTCGTCAAGCAGAAGATTTCATTAACACGCTCGAATAGGTCAATTTAAACATGTGTGTTATTCCCTAAAAAATGACATACAATTTTTATTCATTTACATATTTAATTTTTAAATTTTTTTTTATATTTAAAAATAAATGCAAACAACTTATGCGGTATTTATGTAAAATTAAAATACTTACATTATATATATGGCATCCAGTAGATTCTTGCCAGACCTGTCCTCACATAATACGATAAAATGGCAGCAGAAAAACTGTAAAAATAAGAAAGGTCAAAAAAGAAAGGGTTTTTTAACTGTAATTTTCTGCATGGATGGGACAAATTTGAAAAGAAACATTTTAAAAAATTCAAGTGCAAAAAGATTACAAACAAAATGTAAAAGCTCGGGTTGTCAAGCTCGAGCGAGTTTAGGCTCAGCTCGTGTGGTAATGTAGTTATGTGTCTTCTTTTGCATATATTTGGCTCAGGTTTTACGCTTTAAAGTTAGATACAAATATGTATAATATATTATTATATAAATAATTATATAATTTTTTTTATTCGACAAAGAGTTGTTCGTGTTCGGCTCGTTTATAATTCGAGCTTTAAAAATTTGTTTGTGTTTGGCTCATTTACTTAACGAACGAGCCGAACACGAGCTACTTAACGAGCCGAACACGAATTGGTACGAACAACGAGCTCTTTTGACAGTCCTAGTAAAAGCCCGTGCATGCTTCCACTGCAAGAACCATAATTCTGAAATTTGTAATTATTTTAATTTTGGAGACTGAAATGAGAAATTCTTTGAGGGGAATCAAATTAGAATTTTGTCATTAAGGTCAAATTTTGCAAAA